CTTCTCCTCCCTAAAAGAACAAAGAAAGTTCTGAAAATCTGTTTTCCAGGGTGCCTGGGTGGCACAGTTGGTTGAGCGACTGACTCTTGGTTTCAACTCAGGTTGTGATCTCAGGGTCGTGGGATCGAGCCCCACACTGGGCTCTGTGCTCAGCACAGAGTCTGCTTGGGATTCTTTGCCTCTCCCTGGCCCCATCCCCTGCTCACACTATCTCTCTCTAAAATAATAAATAAATAAAATCTTTAAAAATCTGTTTTCAGGCAAGTAAAAAATAATTTTGATACTGCACCAATGAATGAATATAAGCAGGGAAAATCCAAACTGCTGGGATCTATTCATAGTTTATTTTCTGTATTATCTTCTTTATGAAGTTCAAAATACATTACAGCAAATTAAATTAACTTCTACAACAATCTTGAGCAATACCTTGGAATAAATTGTAAAAAAGATATCCATTTAGATTCTCACCCTTTGCTTGAAGGTATAACTCAATTCTAGAACTCTAGACTTAAACACACTGAATTAGTGGCTTTTTCTTAGTGACTATCTTTTTAAAGATGGTTATCTTTCAGTCAACATCATAGATCCTTTTATTTCATTTTGTAAACCCTACTCCATAAAAATGCCCAAGTTTCAAGTGCATAAAAGATAACACATTTTGGTGAAGGTTTTGATTTTTAGTAAGCTGAGTATCTTTTCTAACTATAAACTCATTAGTAGGCTTATACCAATTATTATCTATACTTAACAGCCAAAATTTTTTAATTGATCAATCTATAGCTTATACCAATAGCATCTTTGGACAAAATGATGTATCTTAAGGATATACAGACTTGTAATTAGTACTTCTCTCCATTTATTTCTAGAATAGAAATATTACTGTACCCAGGTTATAAACTGAGTATCATCTGAGTAGGAAATATATATTTATCTATGCACATATCACTGAAACAATAAGATTTCAGGGCACCTGGGTGGCTCAGCTGGTTAAGCGTCTGCCTTAGATTCAGGTCATGAACCCAGGGTCCTGGGTTCGAGTCCCATATCAGGTTCCCTGCTCCATGGGGAGCCTGCTTCTCTCTCTCCCTCTGCCTGCCACTCCCCCTGCTTGTGCACGCGTGCTCTCTCTCTCTCTCCATCAAATAAATAAATAAAATCTTTAAAAAAAAACAAAACAATACAATAAAATTTCAGTATCCTTCTGAGCCTGTGCTTCTGTAAGGCCACCAAAAGAAGTGGCATCGCAAACAAGGTTTTCCATTTTTAAGTAAGAGACTGGGCAATAAGAGATTAGACTGCCAGTAATTTTTTCAACACTGTTTATGTTTGTGGATCATGAGTGCCAGGTCTATGCTACTGCTCTACTAAAGATCAGATAAACCAATGAAAGAAGTTTTTAAAGATTCTGCTGCTCACCTGAGCTCCTTCTGGGGGTGGGAGACGACAGCCAAATATGGGTGGGACAGGAGAGCCACATTCTTGACAGAAGCGAGCAAAGGGGTCAGACGGGCGGGGGGCCAGGCAGTGGGCACACCTACAACAAAATAGGTTCCTGACTGGCCATGTTCTGATGGGTTCACATTAAGAAGTCAGATGAAAATCTCTAAGTGTGCAAACATTTTAGAAAATAAAAAAACAAAACAAAGAGCAGACCACTCTCAAAGGCTATGGAACAAGTTCAAGACAGGGGATGCTTCTCCAGTCATTTTATTACAAAGTGGCCTTCCACCTGGACCCACTGGTCCTTCACCTGGCCTGGCTTACCTTATTTCCCAACGTTTGGCAGAAGTTTATCAGCAGCCTTGATCCCACTTCTGACTCATCCTATGACACTGGATTTGGCGTGCGTGAGGGTGATCCCCGAGAATTCCAGTAAAGTCTATCTTAACTGCAATTTTCTGACTTCCTACCTGACCTCTGAGCTCAGTCTGTGACAGGTCTTGCCTGGAGGAGGACCACGTCTTGACCAAAGAAGATATACAAATGGTCAAGAAACACATGAAAAAAATGCTCAACGTCACTTGTCATTAGGAAAATGCAAATCAAAACCACAATGAAATTTCACTTTATATCTATTAGGATGACTATTAGAAAAACAGAAAATAACAAGTATTGGTGGAGAAATTGACACCCTTGTGCATTTCTGGTGGAAGGTAAAATGATGCAGCTGCTGTGGAAAACAGTTTAGCAGTTCCTGAAAAAGTTGGACAAAGAATTACCATAAAATCGAAATTCCAGTCCTAGGTAAATACCCAGAAGAACTGAAATCAGGGACTCAGATACTTGGACACCAATGTTCACAGCAGCATTATTCACAATAGTCAAATGTGGTAACAACTCAAGTGTCCATGAACAGATGAGCAGATAAACAAATTGTGGTGTATACATAATGGGATATTTTTCATCTTTAATACGGAATGCAATTCTGATACAGACTACAACGTGAGAACTTCAAAAATATGCTCAGTGAAGTAAGTCAGACACAAAAGGACAAATATTGTCTGATTCTACTTACATAAGGTAACTAGAATAGGCAAATTCATAAAAACAGAAAGGAGAACAGAGGTTACTAGGGGCTGGAAGGATTAGGTGAAGGAGTTATTGCTTAATGGGAACTGAGTTCTGTTTGGAATGACAAAAAAGTTCCGGAAATGGATGGTGGTGATGGCTGCACAACATTGTGAATGTACCTAATGCCAGTGAATTGTACTTAAAAATCATTAAAGTGGTAGATTTTATTTACCTATATTTTACCACAATAAAAGTGTAAAGGGCCTCAAAAATAATCGATACAAAATAAAAGTAATAATGTAAGGATGTATACGTATAATATGTATAAATGTAACAATGTATTATGGGGTTCATAATATTCGCAGAAGTGAAATGAGTGACCACAGTAGCACAAAGGCTGTTGTTATTCAGCGCCTGGAAGTACGGGATCATGAGGTTCCTATGCTGTGTACAAAGTGGCCTAATCCTGCTTGAGGATGGGCTGTGATGAGTTAAAAATACGTATTAGAAACCCTAAAGCAACTACTAAGAACAAAGTTCTGGCTAATAAGCTAACAAAGCATATAAAGCAAAATGGAATCGTGAAACATACCCAACTAATCCAAAAGATGGCAGAAAAAAAGAAAAGGCAACAAAGAACAGATAAGATGAACAGAAAACAAATAGCATGATGGTTGATTTAAATTCAAACATATCAATAATCAGAATATACTCTTAACACCCCAACTAAAATGTAGAAATTGTCAGGTTTTTTAAAAAGCAAGACCTAACTAGATGTTGCTTTAAAAAAACTTAAAGAAAAACAGATAGGTTAAAAGTAAAAGGATGAAAACAGTTAGATCATGCAAACACTAAGCAGAAGAAAGCAGGGGTGGCTGTGTTAATATCAGACAAAACAGGTTTCTTTCTTTTTTTTTTCAGACAAAATAGATTTCTGAGCAAAGAGTATCACCAGGGTTAAAGAAGGTTATTCATTATGATAAAGGGGTCAACTCAGCAAGAGGACATAAGAATCCAAAAGGTTTATACACAATAATAGAGCTTAAAAGTACATGAAGCAAAATCCAATAGAAAGCAAGGATAAGGAGACAAATTCATAATTATAGCCACAGATTTCTCAATCACTGATTAAGCAATAGACAGAAAAATCAGTAAAGATAGAGAAGAGTTAAATAATATCATCAACCAGCTTAACCTAATTGACAGTTACAGAATACTCACTCTAGCAAAATGTACATCCTTTTCAAGTGTACATGGAACATTCACCAATCAAATCATACAATATATGTTCTCTGATCAAAAAAGGAATTAAATTTGAAGTAAGTACCAGAGGATATAAGGAAAATCCCCAAATACTTGGAAATTTAATAAAATACTTTCAAATAACCCATGGGTCAAAAAAGAAACGACAAGGATAGTTAGAAAGTTTACACTGAATTAAAATGAAAACACAACAGGGGCGCCTAGCTCAGTCAATAGAGCATGTGGCTCTTGATCTCAGAGTCATGAGTTCAAGCCCCACACTGGGCATGGGGTCTACTTAAAAAAATTAAAAATAAAAATGAAATGAAAACACAACATACTAATATTAGGGGCTAACGCAGTACTCGGGGAAAATTTGCAGAATTCTAAATGCCTATATTAGAACGAAGAAAGCCTTCAAATGAATGAGTTCATCTTCCACATACTAAAGAAATTAGAAAAAGAAGAGCAGAGGCGCCGGGTGGCGCAGGTGGTTGAGCAAACAGCTCTTGGTTTCAGCTCAGGTCCTGATCTCATATGGGTCATGAGATCCAGCCCCACGTCCAGCTCCAAACTCAGTGCAGAGTCTGCTTTACATTCAGTCTCCCTCTGCCCCCTGCTCCTGCTCTCTTTCTCTCTCTCTAACAAATAAATAAATCTTAAAAAAAGAAAAAGAAGAGCAAATAAAACTAACGGTTCGCTAAAAAAGAAACAGATAAACAGACTTATATTTATTAAACAAACTTAATATGTAGTTTAAAGTCTTCCTTAAAACTCTGGACCCCAGTGCTTTCACTAGTGTACCCGACCAAACACCTAAGGAAGAAATAATACCAATTCTTTTCTTTTTTTATTAACATATAATGTATTATTTGTTTCAGGGGTACAGGTCTGTGATTCAACAGTCTTACACAATTCACAGTGCTCACCATAGCACATACCCTCCCCAATGTCCATCACCCAGCCACCCCAACCCTCCTACCACCCAATAATACCAATTCTAAACAAACTCAGAAAATTAAAGGAGAGAGAATACTTCCCAACTTATTTTGTGAACCCAGAATTACCTTGATACTAAAATCAGAGAAAGACACTGTAAGGCATGAAAACTATAGACCAATATCCCTCATGTACATATATGCAAAAAGTTCCTTATATTTTAGCAAATCAAATTAAATATTACATAAAATAGATAATACTTCAAGTGAGGTTTATCTCAGAAATGCATGGCTGATTTAAAACTTGAAAATCAGGGCACCTGGGTGGCTCAGTCTGTTAAGCGTCTGCCTTCGGCTCAGGTCATGATCCCGGGGTCCTGGGATTGAGCCCCACATTGAGCTCCCTTCTCAGTGGGGAGCCTGCTTCCTCTTCTCCCTCTCCCTCTGCCTGCTGCTCTGCCTACTTATGTGCTCCCTCTCTCTCTCTCTGTCAAATAAATAAATAAAATATTTAAAAAAATAAAACTTGAAAATCAGGGGTGCCTGTGTGGCTCAGTCAGTTAAGTGTCTGACTTTGGCTCAGGTCATGATCTTAGGGTCCTGGGATCAAGAGCCCTGCGCCTGGCTCCATGCTCGGCAGGGAGTCTGCTTCACCCTCTCCCTCTGCCCTTCCCCCAGCTCATGCTCTCTCTGTCTCTCTCTCTCAAATAAATAAACAAAATCTTTAAAATAAAACTTGAAAATCAATCTTTGTAATTCACCACATGAACAAAAAAGGAAAAACCATATTACTTTAATAGGTAGAGAAAATGCTATAGACAAAATCCAACATCTAGTCCTGATTTAAAAGAAAAACAACCAAAAAACCCTAGGGGCACCTGTGTGGCTCAGTCAGTTAAGCATCTGCCTTCGACTCAGGTCATGATCCCAGAATCCTGGGATCCAGCCCCGCATCTGGCTCCCTACTCAGTAGGGAGCCTGCTTCTCCCTCTCCCTCTGCCCCCCGGCTCGTCTCTCTATCTCAGATAAATAAATAAAATCTTAAAAAAAAAAAAAACCTCTCAGCAAGCTAGGACTAGGAGAAAATTTCCTCAATCTGAAAGGTCAACAAAAAAAATCTACAGCCAATATCATATTTAATGTTAAGAAATGGAATGTTTTCTCCCTAAGTTCAGGAATAAGGCAAGAATGTCCACTCTCATCACTTCTATTCTAAATTTACTGGAAGTCTGGCCAAGGCAACAAGTCAAGGGAAAAAAAGAACAAAGAAAAGGGATCTGTATATATGTTCCAGCTATAGAGATCAGACTGTTTTCGGTTTGCACAGCACCTCAGGGGAGGAAAGAATATATGAATAGGGAATATTGCCATCCAGGTGGCTTTAGGGTCCTGAGGAGTAGAGAAGGATGGCACTGGGGAGGTCTGGATGGATCTAATTTGTGTAGGAGTTCCCTGTAGATAAATTACTGATCCCCCAACTACTATCTCCCAGGATGTAACGGCTGAATTAATATGTAATCAACTGCACTGTAACTAAGGCAGGTGCATGCCCCACCCAATACCATTTCTTACCCTCTAATCCTACCTGATCTTTAACAAAGCATTAATAATTCTAAGGATCATCTCTATTTTGTTGTGCTTTTTTGTAACTTTTAAATAAATCAGTTTATAGTGGAAGAAAGGAAGGAAGGAAGGAAGGAAAGAAGGAAGGAAGGAAGGAAGGAAGGAAGGAAGGAAAGAAGGAAGGAAGGAAAGAAGAAAGGAAGGAAGGAAGGATCCATGTAGAAAATGAAGAAATTTACATTTTAAAAGCAAAAAATTTTAAATTTACATTTTAAAATTTACATTTTAAAAAATTTACATTTTAAAAGCAATACCATTTATGACAGCATCAAAAAAATACGAAATACTTAGAAATCAATTTGATAAAAGATATGTAAATCCTGAGCACTGAAAACTATACAACACTGCTGAAAGAAATTAAGGAAGAACTAAATAAACGATGAGATAACCTCATTTTTCTGGACTGTAAAGACTCAAAATTGTTAATAACATCAATTTTTCTTAAATTAATATATCAACTAAATGCAATCCAAATCAAAACTCTAGCAGACATTTTGTAGATGTTGAGAAGCTGACTTTAAAACTTATTTGAAAATGCAAAGTACCGAGAGGAGCCAAACTATTTTTGTAAAAGAAGAACAAAGCTGAAGAATGTGTAACACTTAGTTTCAAGACTTATTATAAAGGTATGGCAATCAAGCAGTGTGGTAGTAAATAAATATAGACAAACATCAGTGGATCAGAATACAGAGTCCAGAAACATACCCACAAAATCTCAAAAGTAATCAATCAGAAAAGGACAATCTTTTCAACAAATGGTGCTGGAATAACCTCACACTATAATTAAATATGGATCACAGACCTAAATATAAGAGCTACAACTTCTAGAAGAAAACATAGAAGAAAATCTTATGAGTGGGATATGTCTTTGGTTTGGGAAAGACTTCTTAAATATGTCAAAATAAACATTAAGTATAAGACAAATAAATACATTGCATTTGATCAAAAATAAAAACTTTAGCTCTTTAAAAAACTTTCTTAAGCAAATAACAAGCCAAAACTGGGAGAAAATATTTGCAAAACATATATTAACAAAAGAGAACATGTACAACTCTATAATTAGGAGATACAGTACTCAATTTTTAAAAAGGGCAAAACGTTTGAACAGGCACTTTCCCAAAGAAGGTATATGGATGGCAAATAAACACTTTTAAAGATGCTCAAAGTCATTAGTCACTAGGGAAATGCAAATGAAATCCACAAGCACCATCTCACAAGAATGGCCAAACATAAAAATTAAAGCATTGGTGAGGATGTAGAGAAAGTGGGATTCTCATACACTGTTGCTGGGAATGTAAAATGGTGCACCTCCTTTGGAAAACAGCTTGGCAGTTTCTTAAAAAGTTAAATGTACAGCTATCATATGACCGAGGCATTTCATTCCAGATATGTACTTAAGGGAAATGAAACTATATATGCATATCATGACTTGTATACAAATGTTCTTAGCTTTACCTGTAATAGCCCAAAACTGGAAACAACCCAGATGTCCATCAATAGATGACTAAATATACAGATTGTGATGTATCCATACAACGGGATACTACTCAACAATAAAAAGGAATAAACACCTGATACGTGCAGCAACGTGGGTGAATCTCAAAATAACTAGGAAAAGGAATGGGGCGCCGGGGTGGCTCAGTTGTTAAGCGTCTGCCTTCGGCTCAGGTCATGATCCCAGGGTCCTGGGATCGAGCCTGGCATCGGGCTCCCTGCTCCACAGGAAACCTGCTTCTCCCCCTCCCACTCCCACTGCTTGTGTTCCCTCTCTTGCTGTGTCTCTCTCTGTCAAATAAATAAATAAAATCTTAAAAAAAAAATAACTAGGAAAATGAAAGAAGCTTGGCAAAAAGAGCACATACTGAATTATTCCATTTATGTATGGAATCAAATGCAAACTAAAACTACAGTGACGAGAAGCAGATCAATAGTTGCCTTGGGATAGGGAGGAGCACAAGGGAGGGACTTCAAAAGGGTACAGCGCAGGAAACTTTTGGAGGTGATGGGCTTGTTCATTTTAATTATAGTGATAGTTTCAAGGTTATATGCACATGTCAATTGCACCTTTTTTTTTGCAAAATGAATTAAAAAATTTTTTTACTTGAGTATAGTTGACATACAATGTTACATTGGTTTCAGTTGTATAACATAGTGATTCAACTTCTTTACATGTTAGGCTCACAAGTATAGCTACCATCTGTCACCGTACAATGCTATTACCATTGGCTATATTCCCTATGCTTTTATTCCTGTAACTTATTCCATAACTGGAAGACTATATCTCCCACTCCCCTTCCCCCATTTTGCCCATCCCTCCAACCCCCTCTCCTCTGGCAACCATCAGTTTGTTCTATTTATAAGTCTGATTCTTCTGTTTGTCTATTCATTTTTTTTTGTTTTTTAGATTCTACATATGAGTGAATTCATATGGTATTTGTCTTTCTCTAATTTCACTCAGCATAATACCCTCTAGGTCTATCCATGTTGTAGCAAATGGCACGATCTCATCCTTTTTATGGCTGTGTAATGTTCCACTGCATAAATATACCACATCTTCCCTAGTCATTCGCCTATTGATGAACACTTAGGTTGTTTCCATGTCTTCGCTATTGTACATAATGATGTGATATACATAAGGGTCAACTGTACTTTTTAAATAAGTACAGTTTTATTGTATATCAATATACTTTTAAAATTTATAAAAATTTAATGAAAGACAGTTGGGTGAGAAAACACCATTCTTATGTCTCATCCTTAAATTTTTTTGACAATGTCTCAGTAGGATTTAAGAACTAGTAAAGAAAATGTAATACTTACTTGAGAAAGTCTGTCTCTCTTTGAATTCTCATGATCTCCGTGCTTGTTAAACTCTTCTGGCCAGTTATGTGTGCAAAACTAGGGAACTACAATTAAGGATACATATAAAATCACAGTAAAAGCTATGTACAGTAAAATTGCATTTTAATGTATTGTCTTATCATATCCAGCACTCATCTTTTGAGAACCACGACGGGAGAATCATAAGTAATGATTACCCTAGGACCCAACATTAAAAAATTAGAGTGCTATCATGATTAGATATGTATATTTCACTAAAAACAGAGTTTACAAGAAAAGATATCTGAATTTACCATCAGACAGACCAGAGTTTAGAATTTAAAAACCTAAGTTGCCCTCCATTTTTCTCAAAGATTACATCCCCAGGAAACTCAAAGATTCACCTAAAAGAACATATGCAGCAACTGTCTGCTGTTATCCAAAAACATTTAACTCATTTGATATATTTTTATTTGAGCATTCACTTTGTACCAGGCACTGTGTTTGACACAGGGAGGGGGGACAAAGATAAATATTACATGGTCCCTACCCTTTAGGAGCTGAACTGGTGGACACACAAAATACTGAAACACTGTGGTTTCAGTATAGTAATGCATTTGTGTTGAGTCCCATGGGACCCTAGAAGAGAAAATAATCACATTCACTTGCTCCAGGGGAGAAAGGCCTCCCAGGATGCTAACACCTGAGCTGGGTCTGGGAAAGTAAAAAAAGATTTGTCAAATGGACACAAGACAATGGGATTCCCAAGCAGAGGAAACCCATTTGCAAAGGCACAGTGGTAGGGCAGTGCTTGGCCTATCCTGGGGCTCAGGGGTGTGACGTGTTTTAGACGTCTGAGTAACTGGAGAAGGAACATGGAGGGGAGGAGCTATCACTTAGGAAGGGTCTGACACCTGCTAAAATCGTATTACATAGTCATTACCTCCTTAACATTTCACAGTGATCTTATGAGGTGGGTAATATTAACCTCATTTAAAAATTTTTTGTAATAGTTTCTTTAGATATAATTTTGAACTTACAGAAAAGTTGCAAAGAGAGTACAAATAACTCCTGCATACCCAGCTTGACCAGGTTTTCATGTTAACATTTTGCCCAGTGCACCTTCTCTCTCTCTCTCCCTGAATCATGTGAGAATGAGCGGCAGTTACAATGCCCTTCTGCCCCTACATACTTGAGTGTGCACGACGTTAAGAACAAGGATGTCCTCTTACATGACAATGCAATTATCAAAACCAGAAAAGTTAACGGCTACACAATACTATGATCTAATCCCCAGATCTTTATTCAAATGTCATTGTTCCTACCAATGATGTCCTTCACACTATATATTATTTTTCCTGGTCTAGGATCCAGTCCAGTGTTACGCTGTGCATTTAGTTGTCAAGTCTCTTTTGTCTCCTTTAACCTGGAATTGTTCCTCAGTCTGTCTGTATCTTTCATGATCTTGACATGTTTGAAGAGTAATGGGTCATTTAATCTGTAGAATCTCCATTAATTTGGTTTTGTCTGATGTTTCTTCATTACTGGATTCAGGCATGCATTTTGGCACAAATATGAGGGAAATGATATTGTGTCCATCTCAGTGCCTTACACCAAGAGGCACATATAATCCCCATTTTTGTTTCCCTTGCCTTTGAAGACATGTCTAGCAAGAAGTTGCTGAGGCCAAGGTCAAAGAGGTTGCTGCCTATGTTCTCCTCTAGGACTTTGATGGATTCCTGTCTCACATTTAGGTCTTTCATTCATTTTGAGTTTATCTTTGTGTATAGTGTAAGAAAATGGTCCAGTTTCATTCTTCTGCATGTGGCTGTCCAATTTTCCCAACACCATTTGTTGAAGACACTGCCTTTTTTCCATTGGATATTCTTTCCAGCTTTGTCAAGGATTAGTTGACCATAAAGCTGAGGGTCCATTTCTGGGTTCTCTATTCTGTTGCATTGACCTATGTGTCTGTTTTTGTGCCAGTACCATATTGCCTTGATGATTACAGCTTTGTAGTAGAGCTTGAAGTCCGGAATTATGCTGCTATCAGCTTTTGTTTTCTTTTTCAACATTCCTCTAGCTATTCGGGGTCTTTTCTGGTTCTATTCAAATTTTAGGATTATTTGTTCCAGCTCTGTGAAAAATACTGATGGTATTTTGATAGGGATTGCATTGAATGTGTAGATTGTTCTGGATAGCATAGACATTTTAACAATATTTTTCTTGGAGGGAGGTGGGTGAGGGAATGGGGTAACTGGGTGATGGGCATTAAGGAGGGCACTTGATGTAATGAGCATTGTAATATGCAACTGATGCATCACTAAACTCTACCTCTGAAACTAAAAATAATCATCATCATCCCCATTTTTGAGATGAAGATGCTGAGGCTCAGAAAGGTTGAGTCACTTGCTTGAGGTCATGTCAACAGTATGTGAACTATCTCACATACCCAGGCCTCTCTGACCCCAGTAGGGTCCCTGTCCACCACAATAACTATGGGCTACAGACTCCAGAATTTATGCTTCAGGCAATGGGGAGCAGTCAGAGGTTTTGAGTTGCTTTTGTGTCAGATCCAACATGGCATGGACAAAGTGGTGGTCTACTGGCCAAATCTGGCCTGCCATTGAGTTTCATTTGGCCTATATATATTGATCCACACAGCGTTTAAAAATTCGATTTAATTGTTAACATTTAAAATTAGGTTATAACACATAAAGATGCAGGTTTCTGGATTTTCTTGCAAAATCATAAGATGTGGCAACACTGAGTCTGTAGGCCTTCTTGTACATAGTTGACTGGAGCTAAGTAGAGATAACTAACCCATTGAGCTGACTCAGGCATTCCATGTTGCCAGAGAACCCCTGACTCAGGACCTGAAACTAAAGCCCTGTGCCTGCTGTCATTTATCTTCCACCCAGGTTTTACAACACATTTACTCTGCTGCCTAGCCCCTAATGGCGCCCCCAGGTCAGATGCTTAGTTCAGAGACATCTTGTCTCCCTGGTGGTTGTTGACATGTTGTAATACCCAGCATCATTAATTCTGATGTTTGCTGAAGTATGCTTCAGATGGGATTGAGCTGGAATAAAGATCTCTTACCAAAAGGAATAAAAAGAGTAGAAGATAAACGTTTTGCAGTCCTTTTCTGGTCCTCTTGGTCCTCTGATTTCTAGTCAATTTCCCCAAATGTGTCCCCATGTTCCTAGTTTTGGGGTATTCTAAATCTTGGAATCTTTACATATTGTCTCATCCTATCTTTCCTTTTGAAACTACTCTTAAATAACTAGGTGGGCAAGGCAATCCAAATATTCATACACAAAGAAAATCAATCACTCTTTCTAGACACACTACAGATTATTATGGTCATGTGAGAATGTTTTCCAAAAATAGTTATGATTGCATTTTGTCATATACCATTCATTCTTCAAAATGATAGTTTTCTATCTCAAAACCAGTATGCTTATATACTACACTGGCTACACTGGGGAGCACTGCTTACAGGAGTTGAGTGCTCATTAGTCCATTTGGTAACCAGGGAATCATTCTTCCAGAAGACTGAGAAGGGCAATCTTCTATTGCAGGGATGGTTGTCCTTTTGTTTACTGAGATTTTCAGGAAGGCCTTACTAGGTCAGTGGTCCTCTGGCCTGGGCTTTGTGACCTTCCAGGAAATATAGTCAGTGGGCTCACAGAAGAACCCAGGAGGTCACACTGAGTTACACTACAGCACTAGAGACTGGAAATGAAGAAAAGGATTTGACTTTGAGATAAGGATAGCTGGTCTTCTAGGCCAGGGATGCTCAGACTGAGCTGATTACCAAAATCTTTCAGGAACTCCATCCCAGGCTTATGGGATCAGATTATCTAAAAGGACTATAGGAAGGTGTAGCTGGGAGTGCATATATATATTTAAAGTTCCCCCAGGTGATTCTGATGTACAACCATGTGTGAGGGTCACGCCTTTTTTATACTTGATGGTAAGTATGAGCAGCCTTGGGATCACAGGTACACAAGAAGCAGTTGTGGTTGGCTAGAAAATGTAATTCTAGGTACACTCTACCTAGGGCTCAGAATTGGAGGAAGAGAGCAAGGACTCCTGGGTTGTCCTTAGATGCCAAAAGTCTAGACTGGATTTTATAAACACTGAAAAATCAGAGTGCTCAAACAGTTTTAGTAGGCAACTAGGATAAGAGAATCTTTGTGTTATATAGTAATTAAGTAATTAAACATTTAGGTTGTAAATCACGTCCAAATCTAATGGGCAAGTCCCTGTCCTTGTCTAATTTGAATCCTTGGTAACATTTGACATAGATGTGCACTTCTCCTTGAAACTCTATCTTCTTTTGACTTCTATGGCACCACTTTTTTTTTTTTTTCCTTTGGCTTTCTTCCTACTTCTCAGGCTCTTCCTCCTCTGCTCAACATCTAAGTCAAGGATTTTGTCTTGTGCCATCTACTCTTCATCTTCTGTACCCTGTCAGCAAGTAATCTCATTCAGACCCAAGCTTTAAACACCATCTATATATTAAATATTTCTAAATATATATCTGTGGCCCTGACCTCTTCCCTGAGTTTGAACTTGCACATCCAACAGTCTACTTAAGACATCCAGATAGATGTCTAATGAGTCGTTTCCTACCTGCTTCTCCCTGAATCTTCCCCATCTCAATTAATAGCACCACCATCTCTAGATGCCCAGGCCAGAACCCAGAGTCAACTTTGGCTCCTCCCTGTCCGTTATCCCATCCATCTGATCGTTCAGCCAAACCTGGTGTCTTTTCCTCCAAAACATATCTGGATTCCCATGCCTGCCACCATCACCACTTCTACAACCTTGGTCCAAGCCACCATCATCTCTCCCCTGGAGCAAAAACCTTCTAAATGATACTCCCCTCTTATTCCTTTACAGCTTAATCTCCATACTGTGGCCAAAGAGAAAAATTTTAAATGCAAATGATATCCTGTCTTACCTTCCAAATAGATTCCCTTTACAATTAGAAGAAAATCCAAACTCCTTGCTATAGGCCTCAAGATCCTAGCATCTGTGATTCTCAACTATGCCTGTCCATTAGAATCACTTGTGGGTGAATTTTATTTAATTTATTTAAACATTTATTTATTTTTTTGTGAGAGAGAGAGCACGCGCATGCAAATGTACATGCACATGAGCTGGGAGGGGAGGGGCAGAAGGAGAGGGAGAAGCAGGCTTCCCGCTGAGCAGGGAGCCCAACTCAGGGTCCCATCCCAGGACCGTGGGATCATGACCTGAGCCAAAGGCAGATTACTTAACCGACTGAGCCACCCAGGTGCCCACTATTTTAAAATTTTTGATAGATGACTTAACATGTTTATTATCTGCATGCCCCACTCCCAATAAAATGTAAGCTTCTGAGTACAGGGGACTTTCCTGTCCAACACAGTATTCCCAGCACTAAAACGGTGCCTGGCACATGGTGAAAAGGCTGGGGGATACAGACTTAAAAGTATTTCATGGGAAGATTAAGAATATAGGAGGTATTTAGTACCATAAAGATTTTCTTTAGAAGTTACCTGAGACTGGCGGGTAGGTGGTCTAGAACCTGATTCTTCATGGTAAGGTGGGATTTCCAGTGGACTCTCTGAGAAACGAAGATCTTTCCATGTTTTAGAGTCAGTTCTTTCACCTACGCCAAGGTCTACAATTATTTAAAAAAAAAAATCATTCTGTGAACATCTGTAATTCTTTTTTTTTTTTTTAAAGATTATTTATTTATTTGAGAGAGAGAGAATGAGAGAGAGCACATGAGAGGGGGGAGGGTCAGAGGGAGAAGCAGACTCCCTGCC